CTTCCCATTTGAGGCTTTTACCCACACTTTTTGGGGACAGGATCCTTACAGAACTTCCCACATATTTACATAGCGTTTGCCTGGCACCAGCAAATCTGGAGATCAGCTAGAAACAGTGCAGAATTGCTGGAGAAGGCTGGGGCTCCACTTCCCAATGAGTCCAGGAAAGAGCTGCTCTGATTCCCACCTATCGGCCCCTTTCATTTGGTTACAGAGCTTGCAGAGGCCAAGGACAAATTTGGCCAACATCTTCTCTCCCCATCTTGCCAAGCATCGATTTGATTTTTCACTGCTGGTAAGTGTGGCACTTTGTTCCGTTAGGAGAACACCCTTCTGCATAATGTAGTGAGCTGGTGGGGTCACTCCCTGACGTGCCAGACCTTCATGCTCTTCAGGCCTGGACATACGTTCTGCTATAGAGGTGGTAGGTGCACACTAATTTTAGTGTTCCTGAACATTAAACTCTGTCAGCAGAGAAAGCACCATCCATCCAGTTCAGGAATCAACCAGCGTTATGCCAGCTGACACCAAAAACCCTTACCACACCCAGGTTCATCTTTGACTTCAGAGGTTTTAATATGAGGAGGTAGAGCTCACCCATCTAACAAGCTGTGGTGGTCAGACTCACGTTGTCATTTCAAGTCTTTAATAAGGACTAACCATGCAGTTTGCCCCAGAGCACTCAGTCAATGGTTACAAGCTCTGCCTCAGAGCCTGCAGCTGCAGCCAGCAGTCCCCCAGCACAGCACGCAAACTTACCACGGCTCCTCCTCCTCCTCTTGTCCTGCTATCTCTTTCCTAGTCTGAGGCTTCACGAGCGAATCCACTGCTCGCTCTAGCAGGTTCTCACAAAACGCCTGATGAACTTGTGCAATGGGATCCGCTAGAGAGGAATTAAAAAAACCAAACCATTTCTCTTGCATACAATAATAGCCACCTCTCAAAGAGAAGAATGAAATTGTAGGAGCAAGATGAAGAGCAGTAGAGGGAAATTCTTGAGGAATTAATGCAAAGATTTCTAAAGACTAAGTTTCAGGGCCTTTTTAACTACCATTCTTAGTCATTAGCCATTACTCTTACTTACTAGCCATCAAAAGCTGCAGCCCTTGGCCAACCATCCCTGTGGCACTTCAGCCACTCAGCAAAACAGTGATGACACTGCTCTGTGGAGGATAAACCTTGGTCACCCCAAAGTCACCCCCCACACATTCAGGGCCACATCCAGGTTGTGTTCCAGCACATAAAGACACAAGCAGGATGACACAGCACAGTACACAAAGGGAAGGGAGCCATCCTCTGCAGGCTGAGGAGACGTCTCTCAGCTCCACAGCCCCTCTCGCCCTCAAGACAAGCAGGGTGGACATACAAGAGCATGCTCTCAAACAAGACGCCTGCTTTTGTCCCAGAGGCAGAGACTGACAGGCTTGAAGTGCTGGGAGGCCACGCACTCAGGACACAAGCGGCTCTCACCAGGGTTCCTCTGGGTGCAGTACAGGCTCTCCTTCGCGGCAGACTTCACCGTCCAGCTTCGCTCCACAAAAAACTTCTGTCCCAGGGGATGGCACAGCCAACGCAATGAGTCAGGAATGGCACTCCGCTCTGAGCTGCACAGGCTTTGAGCTTGGCTTAGAAAGTAGCTCTGGGGAAAGGAGAGGTCAGGATTGAGAACAGCACCCAGGGAGACACACCACCGAGGACAAAGGTCATATCATAATTACAGCTTGTAGCATAAATGAGGCCATATTGTAATTGTAGTGCTAGCAGATGCCCTGAGCTACAGCAATGCCAGCTTACAGGCCTTCCTAGAGCTCTGTTTGGAGGTATGATGGGAGAAGAGATGACAACTCACCGCTAGGAAGCCAAGCTTGCCTCCACAGCGGGTTTTCAAGCCAACCGCAGCAGTCAGGTGGATTTCTGCCATTGTGCTGGGTGGGATCTTTTCTTCTGCGCACTCGGCCAGATTCACAGCACACAGGGCCATGTGCAAGCCCGAGTAAGCCGAGCTGGAGGGAAGTTTACCTGCACCAGAAGAGAAAGGAAAAGTGTTAACTTTTAATGCAGTAGTACTAGCTACTGAATACTACCATGATTTTCAGGGCTACTATCCTAAAGAGACGATGAGAACCTGTTGACATGAGAAGTTTACAACATCGTATGCCTACTTTGTATTCAGGCAACAGAACAATCATAACTGAGCCTTCCCTCCACAGATACCAAGGTTGGCATCCACAGCTTTGCTTCTGCGAGAAAACCCTATATAGCTAAAATAGTTAGGATAAAATCATCAGCAAGTTTTGTCTCACTATATTCACCACTATCTTAAAACTGAACTCCTCTGCAGTCCACACCTGTACCTACACACATAATATTAAGGACAAGTACTTATCCCTGGTGGCATGGCTGCAATTCACACAGCATGATTAGGCAGAAGGAAGTTTAGCTTGGGTTTCTGATGTGGTTGGAGCCTATTAACATTGAAAATTGGTTTGCCAAGGAAACAGCAAAACCCACCATTCATAAGGAACATTCAAGCACTTCCTTAGACCATGTCCGCACGCCCAGGTTTTCAAAGCGTTATCAATACCAGCTGGCAATCCGTGCTCTACACAGCTTTGGAAATTTAAATTCTTCCAACAATTAACCCCAGCCCCTGCTTCCACATCACGTTCCCAAGTGATAGGGATGAAACAAGCCCTTAACAGCAGCACAAAGTGACTGGACTCAATCAACTGCTGCTTGGGAAAGACTCTCAGCCACCTCTGCAGACTCAGGAACACAAAACTCAAGACAAAGCTGTTGCTTCAGCTGTTCTTACAGAGCTCTTTTATTGCAGGAACCTGTCGTGTTTTAGTAAGTGGCTCCTGAAATTTGTCAGGCTAATTTCAACAGCAGCCCTCCCAGAGGAGGGAGGCCATAGTGCTCTCCCTGTATCCCCCAGGATCAGCTCTGAGCCTCCTCATTTGGCAAAACGAGGACAGCATATCTGCTACCTCTGCTCCTACCTGTTATGTGGAGCTGATGGAGCTTGTGATATGCTAGAGCCGCATCCCGGGCGCTGGTCTTGGCCTCGTCCTCGAAGCCTGCAGTGGCCTCCCTTGCCCGCCACTGATGAGAAGTCCTCTTCAGCAGCCACCGCACCAGCGCCAGCTTCTGCAGGCTATAGCGGATCACATTCCAGGACAGGCTGCAGGCCAAGTCCAGGCGGGAAGCCGGCAGCGCTCGGCCGAGTACTGACAAGCAAGTCTGCAGGTTTGATGCAGCTGCAGCAAAATCCCCCTGCAAATAACACGACAAAAGGTTCAACAACAAAAAGCACCATCACAGAGACGCTTTGGGACCTCCTTGGCACTGGCAGCAAGACAAACTGATGTGCAAGCTATGACAAGATCTTTAGCTGAGGGAAGTCAACGTAGTCCCAGTAAACATGAAGACAATTTACACCAGCTTCAAATCTGGCTCTGCATATATCTTTCCACACATGGCTCTGATCCTGCGCTGCCTATGAGACACATTGGCACTAGGTGAAAGCAGTGTCCTGCCTTCTCAAACAATATGGAAGTTTCAGGGTCCCCATATCAAAAGCCAAATGTTGCTTCAACAATGGAGAAGACTTCCAAGAAGCTGAAGGACAGCAGACAGACACAGCCAGAGGCCAGATTCTGGACAAAAACCAAGACCATGCTGCCAAAGATTGCTACAAGATGCAGCAGCAAGGAACAAGTACAGGCGTTAGGAGCCTCTTCCAATACTGATGTCAATGCCTCACTAATTTAGGCTGAGGGAGGACAGCAATCCACTCAAGACAACCCCGCACCAGCTTCTCTGAAATCAGACAGGATAATCCACTCAAGGAATACCATGCTCTTGCAAGTGCCAAGCCACTGCCTCACTAGGCCAAATTTACCCACACCCCCTCCTAGAAGATGCGTTTGATGCAGAATAACAAGTCAACTTTACCCGTGCCAAATCCAGGTCCGCTTGCTTGCGATGCCTCCAGAACGTGACTGATGACCTTGAGTGCAGCCGGGTCACCGGCTCTCCATGCACAAGGAGCTTTATGAACACGCTAAGTACAATCACCCCATTCACGAGCCACAGGATCAGCGTGGGCATCATCCAGCCGAACCAACCACCCGCATCTGCAATGAACATCCCAAAAGGACAGTTAAAAGTTAATTTGGACACTGAAAGCCTAGCAACAGGATGAGCACAGACCCAGAAGGATGTCTTGCTACGCTTGCCACATGTGGTATCAACTTTTGCAGAGACTGCATTTGAATCAGGAAACACCTGTATCAACAGCTTTTCATCCAAACTCCAAGCCACAACATTCCCAACGAAATAAAAAGTTATCTTTACAAGACTGATCTATAAAAAACTGAGTCAGCACTCAGTTTTCCTACAGTACCTTGTGTTCTGGTTTTTCCTATCAGACACACCCATGGGTACTCAATACTTCAGCGTCATTTTCTGGTCTTAATTAAGTTTACAAAACAACACCGAGGAAGCGTATTTACCAGTCAGGGAAAAGACAGCATGCCTACGGAATCCCCTGCCCTCCCCTAAGCTGCTGTACTTTAAACTATGAATATTACAGAGTAACTGTATTGAACAAGCCAGTTGCAAGACCCTATAGCAACAGTGTTTCTGAAGTAATTCTTAACCTATTACTTTATTATTAAGTTACAAAAATCAGTTACCTTAAAAACAAATATAAAAGTGAACATGCCTCAAAGACTGGTGAGGACAGGAGGACACCCCTTACCCTGAACTGCTTTTCAAGGGTCTATCCCAAGGGTCCAGGCTGCTGGGCTACAACCGTGTGCCCCTCTACCTTCACCACACTGAGCAATGGCTGGTTTTGTGCAAGAACGCTGGATGGGGATGTAAAGTGGAACCGTGTCCAAGCATTCTCGCTGGCTCTCCTCCCACGCCCTGCCCTGCAGTTACTACCCCTCCCCAACCATTAAACAAAGGTCGTACAACTCCCTGCACACACACACACACACACCCCCCCACCCATCCTATTGAGTTACACCAACAGTCCACCTCGCCACCTGCAGCCGGCACAGCTGGAAATGGTCTTCAGGGAGACCACGTCAGCCTGGCCACTTTCTGTGGTCCAAACTATTCTAGTTTGTTACCTGACTCAATGGTCAGCACGTTCCTGCCAGAGCCGTGGCGCACCAGGCTGTCGGACTCTGGGGTTCCTCGGGCGTCCAGGAGGGATGTCAGAGGATTGAAGGAAAGGCAAAGGAACGTGAGAGCACAGAGGAGTATTCGAGAGCGATCCACCATACCGAGGGCCACGGGAGGAGAGTCAGGCTCATCTTTAACCTTCAAAGGAACAGGAGTGGAGAGAAATGTAAGAGGAGGAAAAAAAAAAACCCGCTTACCATTCTGTGGAACAAAAAATGCTTATGCTAAGGGAAGGGTAGGGAAGAAGGAGAAACAGAACACGTTTTAAAAATTTGCTTTTAAGATCAAGATCAGCAAGAACTCCAGTGAAGCTTTCCCTAGCTTAGTAAGATGAGGCTGAAGTATTTGAGTGCCTCCACCTTCCTTCTGCTCCCAGTCATTTCAGTTATCATTAACTGGATCCCTGGTTTAAGCTAGGATTAACCTTTGCTGCCCTTACGCTTTTGAGGATCTCCCAGAAGACCCACCTCTTCTGCGATATCCACAAAACAAACCTGTCAGCTGAAGACAGCTAACAGCTTTCCGTTACTGTGGTTACTTACGGTCTCATTAACCACAGCTGATGTCATCATCCATTTCCAAGTTCTCCTGCTTTATTCACTGGACGTATGTATCCCTGGAAAGCCATAGGCTCTTTGGGTCATGAGCATGCACTGTAAGTCTGCAGAGATTCTACAGGGGCTGAAGGCTAAGTACAGTTCTTCTAGCAGCTAAGGTATGGCTCAGATAATACAGCTCAGGAAGTAGTCTCAATCGTTTAAGAAAAGATAAAACACACCCATGCACCTTCCTCATCCTTACAAAGGACCTCTGACCCCTACAGATCTGCTTGCCAGATATCTGCTGGTTCCACTCTTGAGGAGAATTTAAATTCTGGCCCTTACGTATCCCTGAAGTAGATGCCTTGAATTTGACAACTGAAGTCACAAATACCTTTGCATCATCGAGGAGTGGGCTTCCTGGCTCTGAATCAATGGAATAGGGAGAGAAGCCAGCCTGGGATCCTGAGTCAGAGGCTGGAGGAGACATCAGCAGCACGTTCTGGTTGAAGTCATCTATCTTCAGATCCACATCGGTGTCAACCAGACTGCTTAGGTCAATGCCCTTCAACAGCTCTGCAAAAATCAGAGTGCATTACATACATGTTCCTCGATCCTGCATCCTGTCAGTGTCACTCAGATTGGCTCTGTCACCTGGAGTAACACTGGCCACTATTGATGGAACATGCATGTCATCTGCCTGTCAAGGATAAGAAACTGCAAGAGGCATCCTACGTTCATGCTGACAGCCTCCCCCCTGCTGCACAGCCTCCACAACTTACTGTTTTTTTGGTTAGCCAGCTTCAGAACCATGTTCTCCTGCCTCAGCTTATGGTTGGCCTGCTGTAGATATTTAATGTAATCAATGGCTTTTCTCAGAACTCCAGACTTGTGCATCTGCAAGGAATTAAGACGTACAGAACGCAGTTTATATGAAGAGCATCAAAGGGTCACTCCTGCTTGTAGGGGTACCACAACCCTTTGTATCATGTGGTGACAGAAAGAAAAGGGTGTAAAGGACCACTGAGCAGCTGCAAAGAAACTAATAGCAGGGTACTCTGTGGGCAAGGCATCAGACTTTGAAAGACACACAAGGCCTGGGGTCTCTCAAAGATCTTATAAAAATAGTACACTGGAAACAGATTAACACACAAATTACAAAAGAGTTCACATCTAGGTTTCAGATGGAAATAGTCCTTTGAAAGTACCATAGATTTGAAATGAAGTGGCTCTCTTCTGCTGTCTGTTAACCATTGTTTACTGTTTAATTCTGAAATAAGTGGTTCTCTCCTTGCCTTAGTCCCTTGGCCATCCCCATGAAAATACTTGCTTCCAGCAGCAGCAGCAAAGTTTAGCCTGTAAACACAAGCCCAAAGTACTACGAAGCCACTGCAGACTACCAATGTTTTTAAAATGTAAGCTTCCAATTCCACCCAGCAATAGAGGTGACTTCACTAGTGCACGTATTTGTACGGAGACCATGCAAGGTATCAAAAATACTACTCCCTGCTCTGCCAGAATGAGGTAAAGTGAATAGGACAACCCTGAATACATGGTGCAAGAAAGCTTCTAATATTTGAGCAAGCAGGAGTTTTTATAACTCAACATCTAAAGGAAACAAACTGGAAAGCTCTGTAAACCCTCGTCCCTACTGCAGTCAGACAGAAAAGTAAACTTAAATTAAGCAAGCTCTGGTTTGGCAGAGTTATCAAAACATGCACTTGGATACTCTACCTAGAGAGCCTATTTAAGGTAGACCTAACATAAGAACAAACCCATAAGGTATAGCTTATTTTCAAGAAACACTACCACTAGTGTAGTAAAATAAACATTTTACAGGTGACCCTTCCTGAATACAATTATCAAGCTTTCTATCACACAAGTGTTTCTCACCAGTCTTATCCCAATACACGTGTGCATACTACTAACAGTCGCATGTACCCAACTGCTTCATTTGGTAGAGCAATGAGCACCTGAAGACAAGTATTTATGACACTGGATTTGCCCTTATTCCACATCTTTACCTTGGCATCTGTCCCCATGACAAGGTCCTTCAGCTCAATGATCTTGTCATTTATGGATGACCGGTAACGCTTTTCAATGATGTTGTGAGTTGTTCTCCTCTCTCCTTCTTTAGGTGGTTCTTGTTGCTTGACACCCCCAGGAACTTGTTTAATAGGCACCTTTTCTTGTCCCACCATCACTGGCATTGTGGTCAAAATGGTCCCATTGCTCCCAACAAGGGTCTACAAAGACCATGTGTAACAAGCATCATGAGCAATCAGCCAATTTAGATAAGGTTTATGATGGTAAAAGAAACAAGAGTAAACAAAAGAAGAATCAGGAAAAGTTTGTACAGCTCAGAAAAGAAGAGATATGCCAATTTCCTCCCGTCTTCCTTAGCTGGCATGGGCATTGACACAGCAGCACAGAAAAAGTCCACCACTCTGCCGCCCACACTGGTCACTGTGGAGTAAGAACATCTCTTGTTCTCCAAGAGCATCAACACTCTTCTGCCAATACCATGCTCTGTTCATCCAGTAAACAGAGAAACAGACCAAGGTTCCTCCTTACTCCTACAATCCTTACACCCTAAGGGTCCAAATCCACCTTTTCTGTGGACAAGTAAAGTCATCAAATCAGCAACAGGCAATGCTACTTCCAAACTGCCAACAGCAATGTTAGAAAGGACTCAACTGTGGAAAAACAAAAACCTTGGCTTGAGCAATGCAGTTGATTTGAATTCGATTAAATAGAAAAAAAATCCTAGAAATAGATCCATAAGCTATAAAAATGCCTTAAGATGAGGAACTAAGACAAAGAGTGGTACACAGTGGTGTGAAAAGCTCAAACTTGGACATCTAGATGTAGGACAGACCATCTACACCAAACTAAAGCAGTACGTACTCTGCGATAAAAGATGATGAACCCCACCAGAACAGTTGCACAGAGGGGATTCCAGGACAGTTGGAGTAAAGAAAGTTCAGACTGCTTAAGCCAGCAAAACAAGATTGAGAAGGGTACATGTGTTCTCTAAAGTACACCAAGGATCAGGGAAGTGGTTATGGAGAGGAAGAGTTATTTCTGTCAAAAGACAGGCTAACATAAATGAGAATAAACTAGCCATGAGCAACCTCAGGAACAATTTCAACTCTGAAATAGTCTTCTAACTGGGATCTTAGAAATTAATTTAGTTTCATTTCAAGCTGGAACTTGACAAATAAGTGAATTTAAGTCCTATACCTTTCCTTGGGTAATTTCCACCAAATTTCATTATGTTCAAAACACTTTATGGATTGTGTCTCAGACAGACACAATCACATAAGCCTCACCTCTGTATGAAAATGCCACCTAAAAGAAAGGAGGTTAACTGAAGATTTTAGTCTGGCTGCTAACAAGTACATAAGAAGCCTACCATGCTATGCAAAAGAAGTCAAAACTTAAGTCCAGACTTGCAAGTTTATCTCCCCCAGTAAATACTTGCACAGCGATATCTGTTCAGAATGTACAGGATCGTAATAAATGCGTCTTTGGGGCACAAGTTTCTCTGAGTTGATAAGACGTGGAGGCCATGAAGCACAGCTACCATCTCCAATGATTATACTGAATCCTTACTGCGTATGCCCTTTGAAAAGAAGCTTAATTAGTTTTCACATTCAACATACTGCTATTAGACGCTACTGAGGGGGAAAAGGAAGTTCCACAGGTATTCTGAGTGAGTCAGCTTTCAGTTTCAAGTATCTTCCAGAGGTTAAAAACTGGATGGAATTTTTAGGTCATATTCCTCTCCTTGTAATACCAGAAAAAGGTAAACAGAAACGTGCCCTTGGTCTTTGCTTACTGGCCATGGGAGGCTGCCAAAAAAGTACAATCTGTGTGTTTAGCCTTGGCAGAACCAGAGTATTACTTGCTCTGGACGTGTGTAGAACAGCCCTCAAAACCCCTCCCGTTTGCACCACTGCAGAATACTAAAGCCCACACCTCTTCCTTGCATTAAGAGGAAAGGATGTCAGTGAGGAGAGGGAAGGAAGAACATCATCCGTACGGTACCTGCAGAGCTGTGGTCTGAATGGGAGCAGTGAGTGCTGTCAGCGCTGGGTTCTGTACCGCGGCCATAACGGGGTTACTGTCCGTTTTCAGGGTTGTCAGGACAAGGGAGTCCGTTTTTATGATCTGAGGCTGGACCAGAACCTAGGTTGAAAAAAGCTGCAGGTGAAGGGGAGAGTAGGCACATATTTCTCTGCTGATCTTAGCAGCCAGAGGTAAGCAATGACAGAGTTGTAACTTTACATCTCAGTGGATGGCAAAAGAGCAGGGCGAGTATTTCTTCCACCTTGCGCCCTGCATCACTTGGATGTTTTTTCGTCAGCCCCTGATGCAAACTCTGACCATGAGACAGTCTAAACAGCACTGGTGGGAGGGGAGCAGAGGAACCACCAGGACATTGGTTTTCAAATCAGTCACCAGAAGTAAACAAGTATGTAAAAACACAAAAGAGCTGACGGAAAAGTTCCCTTCCCCTCTCCAGTTACACCTATAATTAGCTCTCTACAGCAACTGGTTGAGTACTCAAGAGTCTAACATGGCTAGAACAGCCTGCTTTGGCTACAGCACTTTCCAGATACCTGTAGTAGCTTTTTCCCCCTCCAATTTCACTGAAAGGATCTGTACCACAAATGTCAAGCAGATCAAAACCAACAGTAGGTTATTTTGCCATAACACAGCTTGCTCTTACTTGTTCAAATACCTCATTGGCTCTCAAATACAGAGAGCACTATAGATGGCACAGGACAATTGAACCAGAGCAACTTTGTCATACTGAGAGTATCCCCTAGCCATGTTTTTATCCAACACAAATAAACACAAGACTTTTTCACTCCCATATGTGTGTTTTAAAACAAAAATCACATGACACCATAACAGCAAAAAGATCACAGAAACTGTGGCACAACTGGAAGAAAACATTCCCACATCACCCAGCCCCTGTAAGACATGGTAGAGGTGGCGGACTTGCAAAGATGGAGGAAAAAGTCAAAGAAACCTCGCTCAAGTAAGGTCTTCCAATCCAGTTTGGCAGCACCAAATTGCAAAAATATTTTAGACCAAGTTTAGTTATGCAAGTGTTTTAGTGAAAACTATTTCTGAGCATTGCCCACTACTTGAAGTCACATCATGGCTCACAACAGGAACTCTCACGCATGACTTGCATGAAGTAAAATGCTTCTGGAACACAGGCTGGCCAGAAATACCTCTCACACCCAAAAACCTTTATGCAAAAGCAATCCTAGCCAGGACCACCAGCCACACAAGCTTCACCGCCTTTTCCCTGGCAAGCCAGGAGACCAGACCCAACAAAACCAATTTATTCTGCTGCTGGATCCCTGTATCACTCCTCATTTTTACTTACGGGAACTTGTTGGACCTGTGGTGCAGCGACCGTCTGGACTGTGGCTGGTGTTAATGTCTGGATGGTGCCGTTGGCAGCCTGCGTTAGCACTCGCTGGGCCTGCACAGTCTGCACTTGCTGCTGGATGGTAACCGGCTGAACCTGGGAAGATGTCACCAGGCTCTGGACTTGAGGCTGGAGAACTGAAAAGCAGGAGAGACGTCAGGAACAGTCCAGAGACACAGGCCTCTGTTCTGGAACCCATAAATGCTCCTAGCTTCACTCCTCCTCTTCCCAGAGCTTCTCGGTAGGCAGCCTTCAGCTAACACATCCCACACCTTGAGAAGCTTCCAGCTCCTCTGGTGCCTCCTGCAAGAGGGCACTGCATCTAGAACAGCAGCTTTCCAGGAGGCACAGAGGATCAGCTAAGAGAAAATAAAGTCAAAACCCTTTGGTCTGATAGCACAGGACTCATTACTTCAGTGACATTACGCAGTACAACCAGCCCTTGCCCGCTCCTGATGATCTTGATGGACCTTAGGATCCTATTTATCACATGAAGAATCAACACCTACTGAAGAGGATCAAGATAACTGGCATTCACAAAGGAAGATCCGGTCATTGTTAAACATCCCTACATGTGTCTTTGTTCAATGCAAGTGCTGTACTTGAGACTTCGGTAATTAGAACGTCCCTTCATTCCAGACTGCCACATGGGACAGACCAGAGCTTCAGGACTGGACGTGCCTACTGCACCCATCAGCAGGAGGGCAGGGTTGCCAACAACCATTTTTCAGACATTCTTTTCTCAGGCCTCCAAAGAGGCATAGGAGAGAAGACCATAACAGAGGAGAGCAGCGAGATGACAACTATCACAAGAGGTCACATGAAGATCACATTTATGGCGCTTTCTCACACTCCCCCAACTCCAAAGCCACGTAGGCAGGAAAAGGGACACCCCACGGACAGCACCGCAAAAGAAGGATTGTCAGGCTTGTGGTGGCTGGGGTTGCTTTTGGAATTTGAACACCAACACCATTTATCATGAGTGCACCGGGCACACCCATAGCCTGAACACCCCAACCACTACCTTGGAAACTCGTGGCCGCGTTCTGGTAGATCACCGGCTGCTGGATAATCCTGGTCTGGGGCGCAGAGCTGAACGTCGGTGTAATCATCACGGCCTGCTGCTGGAGCTGAGGCTGGAGAGGGGGCCGGGGCTGAAGGAGAGGGGCCGACCGCGGAGGGGCCGGAGGCGTTGCCTGCGCCGCTTTGACCGGCAGGCTCTGGAGCTGGGGGGAGGCAGGGGACGGCGGGAAGGGCTGGAGCTGCACCTGGCTG